GTTCGTGACAAGGACAAAGTCAGTCTGGAGGTAGGGGACTTGAAAGCAGTGGAAGGGTCTCCGTTCCCAGGCTCGTTCGGCGGCCCGCCATGGTTTCCACTGGATGTCAAGGGTGACGTTTAGGTCAGAGAATCTCTTGTGCAGGTCTTGCCACAACTGGCAGTAGGAGTCAATCATAGTTTGTCTGGCGACGGGGTCCTTCTCCTCCTGGCAGACCCTTTTCATGTCTTGCCAGGCTTCATGCGTCCGGGCCCTGATCTCTTCCTCGATAACCTGCTGTGCTTGAGGCAACCCGAATTGGTGGTCTTTCCTTTCGAAGGCGCACCTGGCTCTCCATGTGACCATCAGCACCTGCAGGCGCATGTAGGTGAAGAGCTTGGAGGCGAAAGGGGACCAGCGCGCCAGCAGCAGATGTTTTTTCCCTAGGAGGAGCAGACCCAGGTCCCATGGTATATGGTGACCTGTGAGGGAGTGGAAGGCAGCATCCCACCACTGCCATATCTGGGTAGCCATCGGGCATGCCAGCAGGAAGTGTTCCAATGTTGCCCTTGCTGGTGGAGTTGTGCTGCCACAGTAGGCATAAATGGGGGACAACAACCCTTTCTGTTCCAGCTGTGTTCGTGACACGAGCCAGTCTGGGGTAGGGAGACATCGGTGTAGAATCTGCCATTGCAGGGATCTGTGGTTGGTCGACATGATCTTGGAATATTTAGACCAGGAAAGATCATGCAGCAGTTGTGCATCGATCGGGGAGTCCCGACCCCATCTTTGACACAATGTAGAGTCAATAGGCAGGACCGTGCGCGAGGCTCGATAGCCTCCTCTGACTGTGTATTCCCAGAGTCTCATGGGTTTATGGCCCGGCCATTCCCATTCATCCGGGTCAAATGGCAGCCTGGCCACCGGCGTGGCCGACTCATACACACAGTAGCCTTCTTTCGTGTCCCCCACAACCCTCACATGCATCAACCCCACCTAGTTCTCGGTGGCATCCAGGTCTTCATCCCTGGCGAGTTTGGTGAACCTGGGGGCCGACAGGTGCGGCATGTAGGCTTGTAATCCGCACCGGCCATCCACATTGTCGCACACTCTGTATATGACCGGCGGCCGGGGCAGGTCCACAAACCTGATCACCCAGTCGTTCGGTTGGACTGTGGGGCCCATTTTCAGTGCGAGGCGCCAGGCCAGGGGGAGGGCTTCCTTAAGCTGGAGGGCCTTGGAATCCACGGACTTGACGTGCTTCAGTTTACGTTGCAGTTGATCGGTCGAGGCCCAATCTTCCGTTATCGGATCCCACAGATCCCCCACCGTGTAGACCCCCTTGGTCGCCCAGGCGAGCCAGGACGAGTTGGCCGTCAAGGCAAAGGGGTTGCCGCCCTTGTCGAGGATGTAGGGATTGCCAAAGAGCGGCTGCCTCCAAATATCTTGCCATCTATTTTGGGGCCGCCTCTGTTTTGGACCCCTTTTCCTCCATAGTTTGAGCATGTTGGGCCAAAGGGGGTCGAGAGGGATATCTAGCCTGGTGGTCTGCGCCGGGGTGTCGGTGTGCCCGTGTCGCAGGGGGGCAGGAATCGACCAGCAATTGTTTGTGAGCCATTGGAAAGGGTGCACGCGATTGGCCGCTGCAGGCTGCGGGGCGAGGTTGGCGATCTGCACCCGAGTGTTTTGTGGTGTTTTTCCAGAGGTAGGTTGTGAGTGCCTTCTTGAGCCTGGTGTACTGTCGTGGCTTAAGTGGCCACACCGCAAGTTTGTACCAGATGGCCGCCAGAATGGCGTTGTTTATTGCCAAAGCTCACCCCACCAGCGAGGTGTGCAGTCCATCCCATTTGGCCAGCCGTCCGACCGCCAAGTCGACCAGCGAGTCACCATGGTCCGGAGGGGGCCCCAGGGCCGTCAGTCTCACCCCTAAAATTCTT